TAGTGCATAAGAAAAAGGAGAAAAATACCGAAGTTTATCATGCTGAGGATTCGAACTCATGTCCCCAATTAACAGTACAACATTCCCCAAGCTGCCAAAGTTTTTTAGTCAGATTCAAAATGGAATATTATTTTGAAAAATGTATGAAATTCAAACTCTAGTTCACCAATATATTGGTGATGTCGTTGATATTTCATCGATATTGCTGATAACTTGCTGATATCAGCGCTATGGGAAGGACAAAAAAAAAAATTCCTTTGTATCGTTGTTGGAGGTGTGAAAGTGATATATTGACGTTATCAGACGATGTTTCACTCCATGGTCATACATGGAAATCTTGTTCCCAATTGCAAGTTGTAACTTTTCATCCCATGGACATCTTCATAGACAATGTTCAGGACTGGTAGATTCAAGGAGGTCCCGGGTGACATTTTTCTAGACAAAATTATTACTCACTCTTCTTGAGGTTCTTGTTGCAACCTTTTTCCTCAGCTATACCTATGCTCTCTCTTAATGAATGTATGTGTTCTATCAAGAAAGAATAACAATCTTGAAAATGGGACTTGTGAATATTGGAGTGATACTTCTTAATTTCCCTTGTATACATGGTAAAGTGCACACTGAAGTATGGGAAGTTCTTCAGAATTACTTATTGCTGGCTGGCATACTTCTTGAAAGAAAATTGCCTTGACATTTACACTACTCTTTTTTAAAGAAAAGAAAAATGAAAAAATTCAAGAAACAGGACTTCAGTATTATGGAAATGGTGTTTCTCTATTGCGTTGTGTTTATGTATATGTATGTATGTGTGTATGTATGTACATACCATCAGATAAATTCTGGCTGTTCTCTTTGGTGGTCGAGAGAGATATTTAGGAATTGGCTTACTGGTGACACAGGTCCTTCAAAGCACTATATATGATGTTGATCTTGATCGCATCCTGCAAAGCATCCATTTATATTTACAAAATCTGGGGATGGAAGAAATTAGGAGAAGGTATCTATTGTATTTTGGCATATGGTTTGTTTGTGTAACATACATAACTTGAACAAATAATTACAAAGATCTTACCTTTGGTTTATATTATTTTATTTATGTGGCTCTTCTTCTTCCTCATTAAAGAGCTGGAGCTGATGATAAACCCCTTCGAATGGTTAAAACTGTTCTACATGAACTTGTAAAGCTTCGTGGGGCTGCAATAAAGGGTCATCTCTCTATGGTTCCTATTGATATGAAACCTCAGCCAATTATTCTTGCCTATATTGATCTTAATCTTGAGGTAGAACAATTTATATGGTCAATTCTATTATTATTATGTTACTGAGAAACTATGATAACTTTTGATGTCTCTACATCCAAGCAGACTTTAGCCGCAGCCAGAATGTTGACCTCAACTGGGCCTGTTGGCCAGACTCATTGGGGTGACTCAACAGCAAATAATTCATCTTCTGGCACACAGTCTGCTGATGCACAATTGAAGGTTATCGATTCCTTGCATACAATTTATACTTTCTTATTTGTCTTTGAAGTTATCGTCAGTTATGTTTACATTGTTGCATTTATTTTCTTTTGCCTTTCTAACTTGCGTCTTAGATAAACCATATTCTGATTTTCTGCATTTTACTGCAGCAAGAACTTGCTGCTATATTCAAGAAAATTGGGGACAAGCAGACATGCACCATTGGATTATATGAGCTATATAGAATAACTCAACTTTACCCAAAGGTAATGGACTATCTTCTTACATAAGTATTGTTAATAGTGGGTGTGTGTGTGAACAGAGAGAGGTAAGATTTTCATTCAGATGAAATACTAGAATAAAGGCTCTATTACGCAACTAGAGAAGAACGTTAATCAGACTCCCAGTTACAAGCGAGTGGCCCAGAACTTCAAATTTTGGGTTGGGCTTTGTATTTATGAAAGGATGACGATAACTTGCTTTGTCTTTCTAAAATATAGAACTGAGAAGCCTCTGTTGTTTTCTTGGTGTCTTAGCATCATCCCTTGCTTTTCTCAGGTTGATATATTTTCTCAGCTTCAAAATGCAAGCGAGGCATTTCGCACATACATTAGAGATGGTTTGGCCCAGGTTTGTTTATTTGTCCTTGCCGTGAATAACTACTGAGATATTGGAATTATCAAGTTAACAGAATGTTTGAGGAGTTGAAGCTATGTTTTACATTTTTCTCCAGTTTTAGTTGTGGACAATGTGTTATTGACTTTGTGCTTATTGTGTATGGCATGAAAAAATTATTGCATCTCCGTGTCTATCAAATACAAATCGGTTGACTGTTCCTCATTATTGCAGCAAAACTACTTTTATATAATATAATTTCATTGCAGATGGAGAGGAATGCAGCAGCTGGAAGAACGCCTTCAAGTTTGCCATTGTCAACCCCTCCTCCAGCTTCCTTGACTTCTTCGCCCGACTTTGCACCCATGTCTCCTGTACATACCAATCCTTTAACTGAAGCAAAATCGCTGAATGTGAAACCTGAACCGGCTAACTTTACTTTGCCACCATCATATACTGAAGACAATCGGATAATTACATCAAGAGGTCCCACGCCTGATTACTCACTTGGAGACCAAAGGAATGACAAATACATAAGTGGAGGTAAAATGTTACTGTTTTTTGAGTCGTGCTCCTCTTTTCTTATGTTTTCTTATGGGATCTGATAGTGAAAAAAATTCCTGGAAAGCTCAGTAACGAGTGGGACACTTGATGCAATAAGAGAGAGGATGAAAAGCATGCAATTAGCTGCGGCTGCTGGAAACCATGAATCGGAAATCAAGCCGTTAATGTCTGTAAACGACAATTTGCACCAAGGAATGATTGCTCAAATGCCTCAAGTGTCCGAGGACGTCGGTGTCGAAAATTCTGCTAAAAGTGGGGTCCTTCCCATGGACGAGAAGGCACTATCTGGACTTCAAGCCAGGATGGAAAGACTTAAAAGTGGGTCTATTGAACCTCTGTGAAACAGACATAAGATTTGAGAGCTACCAAGATATCGAAGTCTGAATACAAGCCATTATCGTGTACGATAGAAGAGCAAAAAAGAAAAATGTGGATGCCGGTAATAGAGATTAGTGCATCTTTTTATTGGTTGCTGGTGCTTATTTTTTAAGAGAGCAAGTTTATTGATATTTCAGGAAGGCGGGTGGTTAAAAGTCGCCAGCATTTGTATTTGTGTTTTAAAGAATTGCTATTAAACCAATGGCAGTCACTTCCATTGCATATATATTTGGAATCACTTACAATATTATTATTCTTTTGTGCCCTTCAAATTACCCCGTAAGCGGTATTCCTCACAGCGCTTTGAACGGTAAATGAAAATATTTACTTCCAGCGTCTGATCATTGGTCATTCTTTATGAGCACTTCCTCAATTTAACAATCCCTTTGTGCTAAACTAAATATCATTGATTTAGGTGAGTAACAGTTTAGTGGTACAAGCTTTATCAGTGTAATGTAGGTTCATTTGCCAGAATGAATGAAATCTAGATGAGTTTTATTTGTATTATTTACAAATCTGTCCATCATTTTTTCTTCTTTCTAGGTTAGCCTCCTATAAGTGTAAGATACTAAGAAAAAGAAAACCCATCATCCATGCAATAGTGTTGTCGCAGGTACCCATCTATATAAAAGACCGAATCAAGGTCTTCTTAGGATTTGAACTGTTTAACCTTTATGGATAGTTATTCAAATAGGACTGCTGAACTCGGTTTGTTTTTTGTTTTTTGTTTTTTTTTTTTTTAAGAACACATTTTGAATTTAGTATGAAAAAGTTCTTCAATGCAAGAACGAACCGATCATATGAAAAGAATAAGTGGAGAATTTGGATGTGGATGGAGTTGAAACTTTAGACTTAAATTTAATTAAAGAAACGTGAAGGGAAATGAGTGTGAATGATTTGAAGTCAAATAGCAGTGCAAAAAGGCGACCAAATATTCTCTAAAAAAAATATAAAAAGTTGTCTTGTCGGTGAGTGAGGGCCAAAGCAAACTCGTCTCAACCACTATTCTTAATTTGGGGGTCTTAACTTCACGAACCTTCCCCACTGCTTTTATTCGTGTATTAATTGAATGTACAATATCTGTTCAACAGCTGCAGTCCCCGCCGCCCCCCTTCTTGAGAATCAGTTCAAACCCATTTCTTTAACCCAACAAAAAAAAAACAATAATGATACATCAAATTGTCGACATTTGAATCTGTCCACACAAAAAAAAAAAAAACAATAGAACGTCTTTATTCCCACTTCATCTAATTCAACCCTAAATACTGTCCCTAATTATTGAGTCTCTATCTTTGTGAAGATTTGGGGTTTACTCGGGAATAATTTTGTAGCTTACACGGAATTACCTTTTTAATGTTTGTTTGTTCCTCTAATCATGCTGGGAAGAATGTGCTTTCTTAGTTAGGTTTAGACTTTCTAAAGTTTGGTTTGGACTTTCCTTACTTATTTAAGTTTGTGATGATAAGGTTGGTATTTTATTGGTTGAATCCGATGTGATTTATTAGCGCAAAAACTTTGTATTAAAAGAATATTTTTAAAGGATAGGTAGGAGAAGCAATTAATAACATTTCATTAAATAATGCTATGGTGTATTACAAATATGGGTGTTTTCTTAGTGGGTCGAGGTGAGGAGGACCCATGTCCTTGTCGTGTAGTGATTAGGAACATAATTAATTATCACACTTCCAATACAATACAAGAAAGAAAAGGTTAATACCCAATTTTGCCAATGGGATATTATGTAAAATTACACAAAACTCCAAGCTCTCCTCTCTCTCTCTCTCTCTCTCTCTCTCTCTCTCTCTCTCTCTCTAAAAATCACACTCTTTC